GAGAAGTTGATATACCAAAAGTCAGACTTGGCATTTTTGCTTCCTCAACACTGGAAATCATTAAAAATGACAAGAGTGGGGTGTGTGTGGAAAGAGAAACAAAGCAAGTTTAGCTTCCAGGGTCTTATTTCAGAAGATTCATCTAGAAAAGACACTAGATGTGTATCTGCAACATCTTCAGATGGGCCTAGGCTGAGAGACACAGGGCACCTTATGGGTAACTTTCCTAAAGAAAAACAACTGTCTGCACCTGGAATAAACTCCCTCAACCCCACACCCACCTGCAAAACTTTCAGTGTTTTAAAAGAAAACACACAATATCAATTCTTATAATAGCGAAGAAATCTTGAGGGGGTTTAGGTGGTGGTGGTGATGGGGATGGTCAGGGGTGGGAGGGGGGAGAGTTATAAAGGAAGGAAGATACTGAGACATGAAGTCCCAGTCGGGGGGCAGCAGCTGGAGTCGTGGTGAAGTCTTTTACCAGGAGCTGTGAGCAGCACTCACTCACTCACACTCCCCCCCCACCCCCCCCCCCACTCCCTCCCCAAACCAGGGCGAGATGTTGCCTTTGGTGCTGGGGAACGGTTGCAGGAACGGGCACTTTCTGGATCATTCATATTAAGCTATTTATTTCGGGCACAGTTGCACAGTCTCATTGCTAGGGATTTTCCAGAATCCCTCCCGAGGTGTGTGTGCGCGTGTGTGTGTGTGTGTGGTGGGAGGGGGAGTGTTTGGGGGAAGGAAATGGTTACATTCCTAGGATTTTTTTTTGGACAGGAATAGTCACAACCCGAAGTATTTGGGGGGGGGGGGGGAATGATTAGCTGGACATGATCGGGAATCCTTCCCCCGTCTGCGGAGGCTGCTTCCGGAGAGAGTGTGCGGGAGGAAGTCAGTGTATGTGTGTATAAGAGGGGTGTCAGTGTCTGTGGGGGGGGCAGTGTATTTATGTGTGTTGGAGGGTGGTCAGTGTGTATATGTGTGTGTTGGGGGGTGGTCAGTGTGTGTATGTGTGTGTTGAGGGGGGCAGTGTGTGTATGTGTGTGTTGGGGGGGGTCAGTGTGTGTATGTGTGTGTTGGTGGGGGTCAGTGTGTGTACGTGTGTGTTGGGGGGGGTCAGTGTGTGTGTGAGTGTATGTGTGTGGGGGGCTGCAGTTTATGTGTGAGTGTATTTGTGTGTGTGTGGGGGGGAAGTGTATATGTTTGTGTGGGGGTCTGTGTGTGTGGTGGCGGGGGGTTCAGTGTGTATGTACGTGTGGGGGGGGGGGTCAGTGTGTATGTATGTGTTGGGGATCAGTGGATGTGTGAGTATGTATGTGTGTGGGGTGGGGGGGGGGGAGTGTATGTGTATTTAGGGGGAAGTGTATGTGTTTGTGTGGGGGTCTGTGTTGGGAGAGGGCAGTGTATGTGTGTGTGTGAATGGGGATCAGTGTATGTGCGTGTATGTGAGGGGAGTTTATGTGTGTGTGTATATGGGTCTGTGTATATATATGTGAGTGTGTGTGTTTGGGGGCCGTAGCATATTTGCGAGTGTGTGTGTATGTGGGTCAGTCAGTGTATATATGTGAGTGTGTGGGAGGCAGTGCATGTGTGAGTGTGTGTGGGGGGTCAGTGTATATATATGTGAGTGTGTGTGTAGGGGTGGGGGCAGTGTATGTGTGAGTGAGTGTGTGTGGGTCAGTGTATGTATATATATGAGGGTATGTGTAGGGGGTGGGGGCAGTGTATGTGTGAGTGTGTGTGTGTGTAGGGGGGGCAATGAATGTGTGAGTGTGTGTGTGTATGTTGGTCAGTGTGTATATATGTGAGTGTGTGTGTAGGGGGGGCAGTGTATGTTGGTCAGTGTGCATATATGTGAGTGTGTATGTGTGTGTAGAGGCAGTGTGTGTGTGTGTATATATGTGAGCGTGTGTGTGTAGGGGGTGGGGGCAGTGTGTGTGTAGGGGGGGCAGTGTATGAGTGAGTGTGTGTGTGTGTATATGTTGATCAGTGTGTATATATGTGTGTGTGAGTGTATGGGGGAGGCAGTGTGTGTGTGAGTGTATGGGGGAGGCAGTGTGTGTGAGTGTGTGAGTGTGAGTGTATGGGGGGGCAGTGTGTGTGAGTGTGTGTGTAGGGGGGGCAGTGTGTGTGTGAGTGTGAGTGTATGGGGGGGGCAGTGTGTGTGTGTGAGTGTGTGAGTGTGAGTGTATGGGGTGGGGGGGCAGGTGTGTGTGTGAGTGTGTGTGTGAGTGTTGAGTGTATGGGCGGGGGGGGGCAGTGTGTGTGTGAGTGTGTGTGTGAGTGTGAGTGTATGGGGGGGCAGTGTGTGTGTGTGTGAGTGTGTGTGTGTGAGTGTATGGGGGGGGCAGTGTGTGAGTGTGAGTGCATGTGAGTGTATGGGGGGGGGCAGTGTGTGTGAGTGTGTGTGTATGGGGGGGTCAGTGTGAGTGTGTGTGTGAGTGTATGGGGTGTGTATGGGGGGGCAGTGTGTGTGAGTGTGTGTGTGTATGGGGGGGCAGTGTGTGTGTGAGTGTGTGTGTGTATGGGGGGGGCAGTGTGTGTGAGTGTGTGTGTATGGGGGGGTCAGTGTGAGTGTGTGTGTGAGTGTATGGGGTGTGTATGGGGGGCAGTGTGTGTGAGTGTGTGTGTGTATGGGGGGCAGTGTGTGTGTGAGTGTGTGTGTGTATGGGGGGGCAGTGTGTGTGAGTGTGTGTGTATGGGGGGCAGTGTGTGTGTGAGTGTATGGGGTGTGTGTGTGGGGGGGGGCAGTGTGAGTGAGTGTTGGGGGGGGCAGTGTGTGTGAGTGAGTGTGTGAGTGTGAGTGAGTGTATGGGGTGTGTGTGGGGGGCAGTGTGAGTGAGTGTGAGTGTATGGTGTATGGTGTGTGTGTGTGAGTGTGTGTGTGAGTGTGAGTGTATGGTGTATGGTGTGTGTGTGTGGGGGGGGTTAGTGTGAGTGTGTGTGTGTGTGTGTGTGTGTGAGTGTATGGTGTGTGTGTGTGTGTGTGTGTGTGTGTGAGGCTGAGCCTGGGGCAGTGTGTGTGAGTGTGTGTGTGAGTGTGAGTGTGTGTGTGTGTGTGAGTGTATGGTGTGTGTGGGGGGGGGGCAGTGTGTGTGAGTGAGTGTGTGGGGGGGGGCAGTGTGTGTGTGTGAGTGTGAGTGTATGGTGTGTGTGAGTGTGAGTGTATGGTGTATGGTGTGTGTGTGTGTGTGAGTGTGTGAGTGAGTGTATGGTGTGTGGTGTGTGTGTGTTGGGGGGGCAGTGTGTGTGTGTGTGTGTGAGTGTATGGTGTGTGTGTGTGGGGGGGGGCAGTGTGTGAGTGTGAGTGTGTGTGGGGGGGGGGCAGTGTGTGTGTATGGTGTGTGTGTGGGGGGGGGCAGTGTGTGAGTGTGAGTGTGTGTGGGGGGGGGCAGTGTGTGTGAGTGTGTGTGTGAGTGTGTGTGTGTGTGTGAGTGTATGGTGTGTGTGGGGGGGGGCAGTGTGTGTGAGTGAGTGTGTGGGGGGGCAGTGTGTGTGTGTGAGTGTGAGTGTATGGTGTGTGTGAGTGTGAGTGTATGGTGTATGGTGTGTGTGTGTGAGTGTGTGAGTGAGTGTATGGTGTATGGTGTGTGTGTGTGTGGGGGGGGTAGTGTGTGTGTGTGAGTGTATGGTGTGTGTGTGGGGGGGGGCAGTGTGTGAGTGTGAGTGTGTGTGGGGGGGGGCAGTGTGTGTGAGTGTGAGTGTGAGTGTGTGTGTGGGGGGGGGCAGTGTGTGTGTGTGAGTGTGTGAGTGTATGGTGTGTGTGTGTGGGGGGGCAGTGTGTGAGTGTGAGTGTGTGTGGGGGGGGGGCAGTGTGTGTGAGTGTGAGTGTGTGTGTGGGGGGGGCAGTGTGTGTGTGTGAGTGTGAGTGTGTGTGTGGGGGGGGCAGTGTGTGTGAGTGTGAGTGTGTGTGGGGGGGGCAGTGTGTGTGTGTGTGTGTGTGTGGGGGCAGTGTGTGTGTATGGTGTGTGTGTGGGGGGGCAGTGTGTGTGTGTGTGTGAGTGTGTGTGTGTGTGTGGGGGGGGCAGTGTGTGAGTGTGAGTGTGAGTGTGTGTGTGGGGGGGGCTGTGTGTGAGTGTGTGTGTGTGGTGTGAGTGTGAGTGTATGGTGTGTGTGAGTGTGTGTGGGGGGGGCAGTGTGTGTGTGTGTGTGTGTGTGTGAGTGTGTGTGTGGGGGGGGGCAGTGTGTGTGTGAGTGTGTGTGAGTGTATGGTGTGTGTGTGTGTGTGGGGGGGGGGGGGGGCAGTGTGTGAGTGTGAGTGTGTGTGTGTTGGGGGGGCAGTGTGTGTGTGTGAGTGTGTGTGAGTGTGAGTGTATGGTGTGTGGTGTGTATGAGTGTGTGAGTGTGTGTGTGGGGGGGGCAGTGTATGGTGTGTGGTGTGTGTGTATGGTGTGTGTGTGTGTGTGGGGGGGGCAGTGTGTGTGAGTGTGTGTGTGAGTGTATGGTGTGTGTGTGTGGGGGGCAGTGTGTGTGAGTGTGTGTGTGTGGGGGGCAGTGTGTGTGTGTGAGTGTGAGTGTATGGTGTGTGGTGTGTGGTGTGTGTGTGTGGGGGGGGGCAGTGTGTGTGAGTGAGTGTGTGTTCGGTGTGAGTGTGAGTGTGTGTTCGGGGGGGGGCAGTGTGTGTGAGTGTGAGTGTGTGTTCGGTGTGAGTGTGAGTGAGTGTGTGTGGGGGGGGCAGTGTGTGTGTGAGTGAGTGTGAGTGTGTGTGTATGGTGTGTGTGTGGGGGGGGCAGTGTGTGTGTGTGAGTGTGTGTGTATGGTGTGTGTGTTGGGGGGGCAGTGTGTGTGTGTGTGTGTGAGTGTGTGTGGTGTGAGTGTGAGTGTGTGTGGGGGGGCAGTGTGTGTGAGTGTGTGTGGGGGGGGGGCAGTGTGTGTGTGTGAGTGTGTGTGGGGGGGGGGCAGTGTGTGTGAGTGTGTGTGTGTGTGGGGGGGGGCAGTGTGTGTGTGTGAGTGTGTGTGTGTATGGTGTGAGTGAGTGTGTGTGGGGGGGGGGCACATACCCAGGTACTTGCGGAGCTCCTGCAGCACCCCGGGCGGGCCGCCGTTCAGTTGGTAGACGAGGGAGGCCACGGTGAAGAGCAGCAGAGTCGCCGAGCAGAAGCCGTAGTCTCGGATGGAGAACTTCACGAAGTGCGCGCAGACCTTCCTGACCATCATCAGCGGCATCTTCAGCCGCTTCTCACACGGCGGCCGCCCCTCGGGCTGCCCCCCCCGCGCGGGGCCAGACCCCCGGAAAGACCGCAACCCCCCCCACCCCCACCCACACCCCCACACCCCCCCCCACACCCCTCCCCACACCCCCGCAAAACTTTCTCTCCTCACTTGGCACCGAAGCTCTCACCGCGCAACAGCGACCCGGAGCGCACCAACACCACCACCACCACCAACACCACCAACACCAACAACACCCCCTCCTCCTCCTTCTCCTTCTCCTCCTCCTTCTTCTCCCCACTCCACCCCTCTACACACACCACATCCCATCCCCGTTCTCCCTGTGCTGGAGGTTGAGGCTCTGGTGTCGGGTTACTCCACACACACACACACACACACATACACACACACACCCACTCACTCACTCACTCACTCACACACACACACACGGTGCGAGAGCTCTCTATTGGACAGTCGGGGGCTCTCTCAGGAAGAGGAAGCCGCAGCCCCTCTGCAACTCCGCACCAACTGCAGCGTCCTCTGGAGGAAGCCATGTCCTGGTCTCGGTTTTCTCTCCCATCACCGAACACCCCCCCCTCTCGCTCCCCTCCAGCCTCGCCGGTTGACCTGAGAAGGGGCGGTGAGGAGCTGCTGCTGGCTGCTGGTTGTTGGGGATGGATGGACTTTGGTTTTGCTCACTTGGTCAAGGGGTGGGTGGTGGGTGGGTGGTGGTGGGGGTGGGGGGGACATGTGGTCATGTCATCTTCTCCTCCTTCCCCCCCCACAAGTAGTTCGAGAAGTGCTTTCTGTGCAACCATGTGCCAGTGCACCCAGAATTGCTGAGAGGGTCTCTCAAAGCCTTCACCCACACAAAAACCGCACGGTCACTCCACTTCACAACCCTCCTGACCCCAGTGTCCGGCTCGCACCCAACACCCTCCACTGTCCGGCCAGCGCCTTGGGACGTCCTCCCGATGCGAAAGGCGCTATACAAATGTAGTTTTGTTGTTGTGGAAGCGCTTCGGGACTTTCTCATCGACGTGAAAGGTGCGCTACCAACTGTAAGGATTATCAATACAGTACAATATCAAAGACTCTGTGCAGTGTGGTGACTGTTGTTGTGGACCACCACACTGTAGACCACATTCGGACACAGCATTGTCCCACAAACAAATATGAAGTGAATGACCAATACCAATTTTATCTGGGGGATTGCTGGCTAGAAACTCTTTTCTCACTCTGAATAGTGTCGTGGGATCTTTTAAAATTCACCTAATTATTCACAGGATCTTAATTCAATCCAGTCTTCCTTTAGCATTATACTGAAGTAAAAGTTTGTGGGCGAAACGCAACAGACAGTTTTCACACAGCAGTCCTACAAACAGCCATGAAGTGAGTGATCAATTTTATTTGGAGGATTCGTTGCCTAAATATATTTTTGTCCAGTTACTGACAGAAAGGCTAAAATTAGATTTAATTTTGATACTCTACCACGTCCCCTCTACATGGTTGTATAGCTTGGCATTGCTTACTGCCAAGGCTCATGCATAAGGAATGGTCACTTGGGCACAGACCCAAAGGGCTGTGGCATGGAACAGAGGAGGATTGGAATTGTCTCACTGGTATACACCACAACATTTACAAAAACAGCTAGAAGCAGTGAACAACAAGCAAGTTCCATAATATTTCAAATATTTGCAGAAGATCTGCAAGTGTATATGTTACAATAAAGTTGTGAAAACAGAAATTCCTCGAGCACAGTGATTAGAGCACTTGCCACGCAAGCAAGAAATCTGGGTTCGATTCCCAGCGGTGCGAAATGTTGAGCGTTATTGAGATGCCTCAAAGCTCTTCCCAGAATATATTGTGACTGTATTTTTGGGCAAACAAATGTTTATTCAATCACTTTTGGTACTCTATGACACAGGGAAATCTCTATGTGCAGTTGCTATATGTGTATGTAAATCTGCCTGCTTTGAATACATTCAAACATGGGGGTGGTGTCAGACACCCAGCAAACCAAAAAAAACAAGTAAAAATATCTTGACATGCAAGCCTATTCCAGATTAGTTGTTGAATGTTCCTCTTTTAGAGAATGAGAAACTTTGTGTTGAGTATATTTCAGTGATATTGAAATGCTCATCGATGCTTTGCACAAACATTATGGAGTCCTGTAGCTCAGTGGTTGGAGCCTTGCAAGTGAGAGACCTGGTTTCTATTCCCAGAAGGGCAAAATGTTGTACAAGGTTCCTTACTCCACACGCTTCTGTTTACCTAGCAGTAAGTAGGAACCCGTTCATTAGTCGATTGGCCGATCGTACGATTAAAGAGCTACAATGCAAATACCCCAACGTCCCGAACAAAGCGCTAAAATTATTCAAGTCTGAATCAACCAGACGACATCAGTGTCACTCCATGAAGCTGTCATTGCACAGTCTGTTTGTGGTAGATAAGGCTTTATGAAGTGTAACTGATCAGAAGAATTGTCAGACCAACCGTTGTAAATCCTTCAAAGCAAAGCTAAAATGTAATTCCCGGTGTCATTGAAGCCTCACTTTTGTTAACAAATGAACATCAGTGAATGAAATGTCACATGAAGTTTAGGGTGAATAAAATATTAATTTTCATTTGCTCCCCCATTTGGTATTCTGTTTACCTAGCAGTAAGTAGGAACCCAGTTGTTAGTTGATTAGTGGATCGCTTTTCGAGGGTAATGATCCCACCAAAAATATAATAATAATTTGTGTGCAATTGGCTGCTGTGTTTCACCCACTAAGTGTACAGTGGATTCACTTCACAACATATTCTGTGAAGCGCTTTGAGACGTCTCGGTGATGTGACAGGGTATTATCAAATGCAAGGATTATTATTATATTATTAGTGTTAGAATTTAACAGGTAAAATCAAGTACAATGGTGCTGTTAAGCTTCTCACTGCTTGACCAGCTAAGACCACCCTACCCGTTTAGATGATTGCTTGCAGGGTTATCAGGAGCCAAGTGGGAACAATTCCTCCTTGTCCAGTTGCATCCCTCCCCCAGTGACATACCTAAGTGCTATTTATCAGGTAGGTAGGCAGGTCTATCATCATCAGAGCCTTTGAGTCCTGTGGAAGTGTTTTGCCTGGGCATCGGATCACTGAGCCCATGACATGGTTGGTCAAGCTCCACGTTTCCTTTGTCAACATAAATGACTTGCTTAAATGGTTTGCTGATGAATATTGTTACAGGAGTGAACAGAATTACTAATTGTAGTATTATTAAAGCAGGCATATTTTGAATTTAAGTACTGAATTCCTTCTTGGTCACCAATTTAGATTTGAAATTGAGATAAATTTAGCCAAGTCAAATAAAAAAAATTGGTTAAATTCAAATTCAGGCATACTAGTCCTTTCAAGAAAACAATTGATAAATAAAATTGAACAATTTGGTCTTTGTGACTGTACTGCTAAACTGAACTATTTTTGAAATAATTGTATTAAAAGTTTCCAGCCTTTCACTGCTTCTCAGAATCACCTAGAAGTTAAAATGAGTGTTACAAATTAATTTTGATTTTCCATCAGTAGAATTTTTATGTTGGGTAGGTCAGTAAGAGTTGAAATGATTGAAATGCCTATTTGGTATCATATGTAGCTCAGTGGTTAGAGCACTTGCCTTGCAAGCGAGACACCTGGGTTCAATTCCAGGCAGGGCGAAAGCTTGGGCAAGTTTCCTTACTCCACACGCCTAATAATAATCCCTCCAAATCAAAGCAATAATAAATTGGTCATTTTCAATCCACGATGTTTGTGGGTTACTGCTGTGCGCAATTGGCTGCCGCGTTTCGCCCACAAATATACAGTCAATTCACTTTACAGCAATATACAGTCAATTCACTTTACAGCATAGTCTGTGAAGTGCTTTGAGACATCTAGAAGATATGAAAATTAAATGCGCTGTATCAAATGCAAGGATTATTATTATTATTATCTTAGGTTAATTAAGACTGCTATGCTGACATGCATGTTACTTTTACTGTACATGAGTCTCCTTTTCTGCCTTTGTTTTAGCCAATCTTTTAGTTTAAGTTCTTTTGCAAGTTATGAACACATGTCTTCAGCATGTTACCTCTTCACTTATAACTGGAGAATATTCAGGTATTTGTGGTTCTTTTATGTCCTGTTCTACTGCCTCTATTTTCAAGAATAACTTGCACATACTGTATTTCATGCTTTTATGTAACAGAATATTTAGGAAGTTTAAAAGATTGACAGATAGGTAAAATAATGATAATCCTTGCATTTGATACAGCGTCTTATCATGTCATTGAGACATCTCAAAGTGCTTCAGAGAATATATTACAACGTTAATTGACTGTAAATTTTGTGGGTGAAATAAAGGTATTAAGGAGTATGGAACAAAGCCAGGGCTTTGGCATTTAAAACATCTTCCAAGATCTGGTGGAACAGACTTGAAAGGCCAAATTGCCTCCTCATCCTGGTTCTGTTTTCCTATTTTCCTAATACATTACAATTTAGATTTATGTAGCACCTTGCACGTCGGGAGGATATCCCAAAGTGCACAAATATCTGAAATCACTTATCAAATGCCATGCTGGACACCGAACAGGTAAATAAAGAGATTTAAAAGTCCCAGTGAAGCAATGGATGAAGGGTTGTTGTTCACAAAGCTTATGAAGGGGAGAGGAAAGATAGTTATGCCTTGTAAGAGTTCCAGAGGACATGGTCATTTTCACTGAGGACTCGAACACTAATGGTGGAATGAAGGGAAGCTATATTTATGTACTTAGTGCTTTGACTTGTTGCCAGATAATTTCTTCTTCCACATGAAGATGCACATACAGTATATCAATATCTTACGAATGTATTCAGAATGATGCACTGATATAATGTGACCATACCACAGAACAATGTGCAAGCTTTGGAAAGGCCCGAAGAGGTTGAACTATGAGAGAAAAAGACCAGAAATTTAATATCTGCAGTCCAGAAAGCTGATAGTTGAGAGCGGCAACATAGTTATTCTATATTAATAATTTTTAGGTCAGTCGGGTGTCTGACACATGGGGAAACCCATCACAAGCTTAAGAGTATTCCAACCAAACTGAGAATTCCATGCATTCCACCTCGATGTGGAAATTCCAGATATTTGTTGGATTGGAATGCGCGCTCTTTCCCTGGAGGGATCCATCCTGTTTATCTAATTCCAGAATGTATTAGGCACAGATTGTCAAGAGCCACGACTTGGGGACCCCAGAATGTGCGTTGGGGTACTGCTGGAGCCTAACCAGCTAAAACCACATAGCTTGCCATTGATATTGCTGTCCGCCCAGCTTTCCCGCTGCCTGTCCAGTTAGGACCACCCTACCCGTTAGGGCAGGAGCTGAATAGGATGCCTCCGTGCCCACAGTCTGCCTTGCAGGTTCTGCCGATGAGACAGCTGGCTGTGCTGTCAACAGCAGTGCCCTGGAATACTGCGGACTCGCCTGATTCAGGAAGCAGATCACTGAGACCGACAGAGTGCAAGCTGAATTCCAACACTCCGATGCTAGCCATGTCACCTTTGAACCAGTTCAGTTCTTACTTACAACAACAACAACAACTTGGATTTATATAGCACCCTCCACGCCGGACGGTGTCTCAGAGCGCTTCACAGGAACGGATCCCGGGACCGAGCCAGGGGGAGGGGGAGGAAGGTGACCAAAGGCCTGGTCGAAAAGAAAGGTCTTCAGCAGGGACCTGAAAATCGGAAGGGAGGGAACGAGATGAAGGAGTGAGGAAGGCAGTTCCAGAGCCTCAGGGCATCGTGGCTGAAGGCACGGCCGCCGAGGGTGGAGCGGAGGACTCGGGGGTCAAGGAGGCTAGACTCGGAGGAACGAAGGCAATGGGTACTGTTTTGAGCAGAGACGAGGTCAGAGAGGTGGGGGGGGGGGGCAGAATAATGCAGGGACTTGAACACAAGGGTGAGGATCTTGAAATCGAACTTACTTACCTACCTCCAAAGAGGATAGTCACTAGTTGGTCATTTGACATTCAACAAGAGTAGAGAATCATTTAGAAAGTATGAATACAAAATCTTATTTTAGATCAAACCAGCCAAGAGGGATAAGAAAACATACCTTATTAATAGGGAAGAACAGTTCATAAAACCAAAATTAGGAATAATTTTGTTTTACTCAAAGATTGATAAATATGTGGTACAACAATAACTTGCCATTGATACATTAATACATTCTGGAATTAGATAAACAGGATGGATCCCTCCAGGGAAAGAGCGCCCATTCCAATCCAACAAATATCTGGAATTTCCACGTCACCTTTGAACCAGTTCAGTTCTTACTTACAACAACAACAACAACTTGGATTTATGTAGCACCCTCCACGCAGCGTATTTTACTGTGGTGGAGATGGATGTTAAACAGAGGGGAAGGGGGTAGTGACCATAGAGGAGGTGGGGGGCGGGCGATACAAGAGGACAAGGGAGGGACAATATGCCTGGTGGATTACTAGAGGTAGAAACATTGGGTACATTGAAAAAGATGGTGCTGTATTGGTTGAGATGGGGGTAGTAGTCGAATGAGCTTTGGTGGGGTGGATGACCTTCTACATCCTTGAATAGAAAAGAACATGGTTACATATGTTGCATTTTCACTGGTAGAGGAAGTTCATCAGTATTGTATATAATTCCTCTTGATATCTTGTTACGATAAGGATACATATTGTCTGACTTTATAAAAACAAGTTCAACTGCACTCTGCCTTTACTCTGCAGATAAACATTGTTTATTGTTATTGAACCTTGTATGGAATCTCTTCACCAAACAATTTGCCTGATATTTATAAACAAAATACTTCCCGATGCGCGAGGTCTATATTGGAATTTGTGCACTGGTGTTACAAACCCATAAGCTCTGAAATTCCACCTACCTTTAGCCTGTAAGCAACAGTGCCCCCCAACATCTGGAACTCCCTCCAGTATGAGGAATGCCTAACGCTTTCTGGAATTACGTAAGCAGGATGGGTCCCACCCGGGAGAGAGTGTGCATTCCACTCCAATAATCTATCTCTGAAATTTCCATGTGTAGGTGGGACGTAAGGAATTCTTAAGTTTGGTTTGGATACTCTTTAAGCATGGTGATGGGTTTCCGCATATTTTGGACATCCGGCTGAAGAAAAAAAGAACTCCCTCCCTCTTTCAAGATCCTCGCACTCACGGCCTAAGCATGTCCCTATCTCTCCAACCCAGTCACACTCCACTCCTGTACCTACCCCTTTTGCTCGGCTGCTTAGGCCTTTTGTGTGTCACTCCACTCCTCTGGCATAGTGTCTGAAGCCTGAACCTCTGGAATTCCCTAGCTGAATCCCTATGGCTTGCTCTCTCTTTTCCCATTTTCAAATCGCGTTTAAAGATTTTCCTCATTGACTGTGCCTATGGTAACCTATCCTTTCTCCCTGGCTCAGCTCCGAGATGCTACTCTCCTGTAAGTTGTTATTGTCAGACAAGTGAATATTCATACAAATTATAAAAGGCAAGATTTTCCAAATAGCCCATAAAAAATAATGAAAACTAAAAGCAGTAAAATGTGCCAATAGTTTCTGGATGTTCCTCCCTTCACTTGTTCTAGCGGGAGTAAACAAATGGTAAAGTCATTGAGTCTGACTTATTGCATTTTGTGATCCATCACCTGATTTTCCTATTACTATGATCAGAAGTTGTTTCAAACTGCCCGTTATATCAATAACTCCAATGTCTGGAGTTTGTTGACCTCGGGACAGGATTTGACCGTGCATTGTTGGAGACTTCAGATCAGGTGTTAGACTCCCTGTTCTGTTATTCTGTTCTGTTCTGGTGAATCTTAAAGATTGGCTCTCACTATTCAAAAAGAGAAGGGTGTTTCTTCCTATGTCCTGGCCAACAATACATTAGAGGGAAAACAATGGTCATTCATTTCATCGCTGTAAGCCATTCCTAGGTCCAAATTGCCTCCATTCTCACCTACAAATACACAATCACTATACTTCACAGAAAGACTGTGAAGTTCTTTTGAGATATTTTAACATAAGGCACTATATCAAATGCAAGGATTATTATTTATGTGGGCAGCTCTATTGGGTGAGATAGAGCCAGTTAAGGTTCAATGGGTAACAAGCAGGATAATTTGCCTCAGTGTAGGAGCTCTCACCATCAATAGACTGAATGGCTTTATCTATACCATAATTTCTACAAAGATCAGTTGGATTTTATTATGGGATACTACAGCTGGAAGGGGAAAAAATGAACAAGGGATCCCAGTTCTGACCCTGCTAGAAAATCTCCCTAATGTGGAATGTTGAATGTAGAAAGAGTCAGCCTTGGCTGTGACCCTCCTCGCACTGTTTAAATGACTATCCGAGATCCACTATTCTCGACACTTGTAACTTGAGACTTGACACTGACACTTGAGGAGGTTCCTAGAAGATGACTGATAATTGTGGAGTGTACTCTAACACGAGGCAGTGCCTTTGATTAAAAGTACAATCACATCATCAAAATAACAGCTCTGCAGCATAAGTCAAAGGAACATAGGAACAGGAGCAGGCCATTCAGTCCCTCAAGCCCGTTCAGTCATCCTAGATCATGGCTGATCTGAACCTCAACTCCTTTTTGTATGATCAAAGAATCCGAATAAAGACAAGAGGGCAAAAGAGTTGTTGGGGTTTTACCTTAGGACAAAAGAAAGTAACAAAACTTGTACATCCGAAATGTAGTTTTTCATCTGTAGAATAATGGACCCAGAAATGTCAAATTGTTACTTTATTGAAGAAACACTTTTTATAGACAATTTGCTAAATGAAATGGTTTAAAATTTTGAACACATATATACCTCACATGACACAAATTACAGCATTTTTTGACTACATTTTAAAAGAATGTTTTGCTGCGTATATTACAGTTACTTACATTTTTTAAGGAAATGAAGCAAATAAGTTATTTAAATATTTTCATATACACAAAGTGCAACATTGTTAGTTATTCTATAATTTTGTGTTGCCCTTTAGTATTTTGAACTCAATATCAATTTATAGAAATGTGACTTGGATTCTGTCCAGAAAATATCCCAAGCTGTTACTAGAATAATCAGTTTGTACAGTACAGAAATAATAGGTTTGGATGGAACCAGATTACGGATAAAACTATTTTATTGTAAGAACGTTGCTTATGCAAACACGAAGATTACAATGTAAGTGTGATGCTTAATTTGTAGAACTGAGGACTGGAAACCTATTGACAATATACTGCTGTCATTTGTAAATGCATGAAAGGTAGACAAAAGCAGGTGCTTTGTTTCATTAGTGAATATTTAAAATAGTCTTTGAGCTAAAATTTACCACTGCCACGAGCAAAATACACTGGAAATTATTATAGCGGTATTTCTGGATTCTTCCAAATCTAATTTCCACCTTTATGAAATAATGGTTTTACTGTTAAGGCAGCATAAAATAGTCAACATTTTGCTACAGTAAAAAATATAGACAGGTCCAAGGCTAATATATAAAAAAAAACTGACGACTTTGTACCATTATAAAATACTAACAGACTATATTTAAGTTTACCTTGTAATGGATTTGCATTTTCAGGTTACTTTGGTGAAGTTGAAATTCTATTGCTAAGGCAAGCAAAGCAATAGCAAACTGAGGCATTTAATAACCAAAATAATGAGTAGTGATATAATACCCAACTTTCTGTTCATGTTTCTTTTTGAGTGCTTTTATTTCTTGCCAATTGTAAGATAAATAAGCCAGATAATATAATGGGCTGACTTTCTGAATGGCAATTTAATGCACTCCAATCAGAGCTAATGTTTTCAGATATTCCTCTCTGCATTCACCCAGTGTCTACATGTTATATTATTGCTCTTTCTGCAGCTCCCAGGGAAAAAAGAAAAAATAGTCACTGCATGTAGCTCACCACTATAGAATAACAAAATAATTCCTCTTGTGCCTATTAGCCCTCCAGTATTATTGTACTCTGGTATCTTTCACACTTATCTTTTAATTAGCCAACTCCTCAGCACTACATTAGTAGTCATACTGTACTGTATTTTAATCGTGTTCCAAGATTGGTTTGTAATTGTTCCAGTGTGCTGTAACCAGCTGCTGTGAAGGCAAGTGATGTGCACGAGGAGTCCGATGAAGATCAGCTACTTGGAGAGTGATTTCACGTTTCCAGGAACTAAAGATTTTCTGCTCATCTCATTCAGGGAACTCGGAATCTAAGCACAAAACAAATCAGTAAGTTAGCTGTTTCTATTGGGGGCACTGCCTCATAGATCTGCACTGGGAACATATGAACTAAATTTAGATACAGATCCAAACCAGACTGAGAGTTTCACATTTGTATGCCACCTTCATATGGAACATTCCCTGTAGTGAGGGAATAGAATTGTGGTGAACAGACCTGTGTAATGGACCATTAAAGTTTATTGTTAATCAGTGTTAGTTTGTGGACCAACCATTAAGTAGCACAAGAGGAGTATAAAGTAAATTACTAATTCTAACTCCCTGGAAAACCTTTTCTGTGCCCTTAATGCTAAATTTCTGTACAACTGTTTGCAGTATTTGTTTGATGTTCGTGAAGGTACCAATTCTGTGCTTTTCTCACAGAATCTAACAGCTATTATCTGGTGTCTGTGCATTGCTTGTTACGCACATTTACAAAGAGATTAACATATAGTGGCACTGGCTCCAGTTACCTAGCATGGAGTTTGTAAATCCAAAAAATAAAACAGCAGGCAATTGCACTGTAAAAGGAAACACTGTTAATGAAAGCCATGCTTCTACATTAATCCACAGATAAAACAGCTCAAACCTCTGCTTCTGAACTGTTTTCAATTTTGTTTAATGCAAAATGTTAATGGGCTCAATATGCCTGGTACTATAAACAGCATTCTAAGTAAAGAATCAGAAACAACAAACAAGGAAAAGAAAAGACAAACAGAAAACAAAGGATTAGAAATAAAAAGAAAACAAGGAAACAGCAAGGAAAGAATTCCTGGTTATTGGCTCATACACCTCATTTTACCGACTACAGGTGCACTTGTATTCGCCCCCAACCCACAACCCTCTCTCCCCTACCGCCCACCCTTTGGGTGAGATTTTCCTGTGTGACTGGGTGAGAAGCTGCCACAAGCGGTCTCTTGGTTGGAGATTATGGTGGACTAGTTCTTGCCTTTAGTAGTTGAGGGGGCACAGCTAGAGTGTCGCTGAAAATCAATACCAGCTCAGTCAGCAGAGGAAGCAGGAGGCTGCAGAACTACCAGGAACTAAACCCATGAATCCAAACAAGAAAAAAGAAGCCAGCAGAGCTCCATGGGCGTGGAAGAAAGTCACAAAAGAGAGGGGAGCAGAGGTGAGGGAGAAGTGTTTATTTTTTTTAATATTCTTGAAATGAACTGATGTTAGAGTTAAGTTACTGGAAATTTTCTGGTGCATGTTGTTGGCTCAGACAAATTCATCCGAGAAATGCACAGACTTCTAGTAACCCAACTCCAGCGTAATTTTATTTATGTTTTGATTTTAAATATACAGATTGAACATAGTGTTTTATATTTAGACACAAAAATAATCAATGGAGCTTTTTGTGTACTGTTATTGTAAAGGGCTCCTGCTTTGCTTACTTACTGTGAGATGTGCTTTACGGTGAGAATATATATTGATATTTCAAAGTTGCAAGCATTAAAAATTATAGACCTTTTTTGTATCCCCAAGTTGTTAGAATAATTTGAGGTTTACCATACAGGAAGAAAGCAAACTGTGAGAAAAAGGGTTTTTCTATTATGTGGAATATTTTTTTTCCCTGTGTCCAAAGAATTGAAAACACAGAAAAGTACTAGCATCGCTTTCATTGGATCTAACATGCTGCGACTTCTAACAGGATTCCTTAATATGGAAAACAGAAGTACGCCATGCTGATTCACAGGAACTCTGCTCCCCACTTGCTCTCCTGTTATGAAATCCTGTCAGATATCACTGTTTTGTTTTACTTGCTGTGTGTATAGGAAAAATACAGGGGCAAAAGTATGTGCGCACAAGAAAGTGTAATCCTAATATTACTGCATTGCACTGTTTTTACAGTGTAACAGTGCAATATCTGGATATTAGTTTTGATTTTGATCTCTGTGAGTATCTCCACACTTCCACCTCCCTTAGAGGTCCTGGAATCCTTTCCCTTCTATTGGTTGTGGGGGTCCACAGTCCACAGTCATCACCTTCATTGGTCAACTGGCTACTATTCACGTCTAAGGCTTGACTGAATTCTGCAGATAGTTTCACTGTGAGGGGTACACAGCGGATCCCAATTCTGTTCTGTTCTCACCAGAGTCCCCAAATCCCTTATAGTCTTAGCCAGTTTTAACATTTAAGATTGGGTAAAGTTTTGGAAAATTCTTAAATTCAGTGTTAAATTGGTTACTAGCTTCCTGCCATTCTTTTTAAGGATTGAACCCTGGACCTTCCTATACAGTTGAGCCACTCACTGAATAATAATAATAATCCTTGCATTTGATATATGATCTCCTTTGGGCATCAAGGCAGCTTTGATAAGATTCCTGTTGGTTGTAAACCGCCTATTTAATTGCCTGATAGTTTCCTGCTCTGGAGATAAAATGTAAGCCAAGTTTCAAATTTACAGCTTCTATAAGTCAACTCTCTGCCTGGCCCACCCCAACGATGGTGGTTGGGCTTTCAGACTTTCTGCCCCCGCACACTGGAACTCCTTCCCGGAGTCTCTCAGACTCAACCCTTCCCTTGTCTCCTTTAAGATCCATCTCGCAACTTTCCTCTTTAACTGTACTTTTGCTTAATCTTTCCAAGTCAGTAAAAGTTGCATTGTGGAAATTTAGCCAATCTATAACTCCCACTATACCTTACATGTTTCTGTGTGTGTATTTGTAGGCAAATGTGAAAATAGATTATTTGAGGACAAATTTATAATTCCATCAACCCATTCATGATAATGCCATTATTGAGGCAAATTTACTGCCAGGCAAGTTCTTGGAAAGCTTTGAAAGGCGAGCAGGGTGGGTTCATACCCCCAAGAACGAGTGCATACACCCATTCCAGACAAATGAAAATTTCCATACATAAATGGAACTCTCAGTAGTTTGGTTTGGATGTTCTTAAGCATAGTGATGAGTTTTCATGTGCGCCAGACACTCCCAACTGATCCAAAGAAAATATCACAAAGGATTCATGCTCTCACAGAAGTTACTAAGACTAGTGTGGATCTTAACAAGTTCAAGACCAATTAGAGCTATATTTCACAAGGGCTCAAGCAAAGCATTGTTTCGGGGTAAGATACTCACTCCCATGCGATGTTGCTTTAGGAGCTGTTTTATTCGTATTTGGTCCATATTTGCAGCCATATGGTTGACAGGATGCCCCAGCTCTTCTGCGTATCTCTCGATCAGTGCAATCGGAATCCCACAACGACCGTGCTGAAATATCAAACCAGAGAATAATAATGAAAAAAAAGATAATCATTGCAGTTGATCCAATGCCTCTCATGTCGAGAGGACGACTTGAAGCACTTCACAAGATTTACTGTAAAGTGTAGTGCATGTATATTCTGCAGGTGAATGCACAACCAATATGCACCCAGCACAAGCTGCTATGAAGGCAATGACCAATTTCACCTGAGGGATTGTTGGACTGAATCAGGCAAATGCTCAGGAGCAATGCACGACAGGCTTATAAAGATGGTAATTATTCAGATCTGTTATGTGAACTGTGCAAACCATGTGTAGAGAGAATTACAGGTGTCCTAATGATGCAATGAACAACCCATAGAAGGATTTCTTAATTATGTTAATATTTATGTTAATAATTATGTTAATAATCGTTTTCATTGGTATTACATATTACAATGAAGGCAACTTGTCATTCTCTTTTCAGTGGTTTACACATGACATATAAAACAACAACAACTCTATGTTTGTATAATGCCTTTCACGTCAGGAGGACAGTCCAGGGTATGCACCCAAATTGGGGCTGAGAGCCAAGACGGGTGGGGAAGAAAAAGGTGACCGAAAGAACAGTCCAAGAAGTACATTTTGAGGTGTACCTTGAAGGAGGGGTAGAATAGGCTCCCACGTTACTGATCATTACTTTTACTTTAAAAAAGCAGCATCTTTGACCCAGTATCACCCTATCTATGATAGTACTATAAAAGCCGTTTTGCCACAGAACTGTTGGTGTAGTATTTACATAGAACTTTACAGCATGGAAATAGGCCATCCGACCCAACTAGTTCATACCAGTGTTTATACGACATGCCCCCAATTCCTTCTCCCATACCCTTTTATAAAGTGGTCTGGTGTTACCCCGTGTGAAGGGTGTTACCATCAAATAAAAACATCTTTTGATCTTTGTCTGCTTTTTACTGCTCTCATGGGACTAGAGAATAATCCTTAGCTCACCACCTCGGACAAGCATGCACTAGAGCAGGTGAACTCAGGTTGCCCGAAGGAACTGCCCCATATCCCTCACTGCAACAATTCAACACATCAATGACCTCGTGCCACAAAGTGGCTTTCAAGTTATTATAAATTGTTTTTACCAAAATAACTACAAAAACATGGGTTAAGCTTTCATAAGTGCTTTGGTACTATTTTTGCTTTATTATTGCAAGAGGAAATAGTCTGTCTTGTTGCCAGATTTGAACGGGTTCACGTCCTGTTGTTAATCTGATTCCTTTTTTATGGTTAGATCTATCATTTCATGGATTGCAGAAAATGCAGGCGTGAAACGGTGATAAATGATATATTATTACAGGAACTGTGTTAAAGGCTTAGATTTACTACACAAATATTTATGAGAATTATACCTAGGACTTTTCCACTGCAAATGTTTGGAATTTTCCACCAGGGAAGAACTCAATGCGTAATGCACTTACCAATGATACAAATCAGAATGCTTATGTAACACTCCAGCATTGGCTAACGCTAAAGTTCCTCTAAATGTTTTTCACGCTGAAGTTACAACTTCTTCCAGTTTTGACATCTATCTTATTTGGCAAAGTGTCTTCTGAGTTTGAGTCTGAACTATTACCCTATTTTGTGCTCTAAAGGAGATAGGCTTCACTGGTGAAGTGTTTGTTGGCCTCTTATTTTTGTTTACATTACACCACACAATTACATCAAAATACTGGATCATCATGCCCATGGCATCAGTGGGAATGAAAATGAAACCCTTTTAGTCCATGCCTTCCCCATTTTCGTTTTACATTTCTTGCTGTTAATTTTCCAGTGTCCTACCTGGTGCTATAAGGAGGGTTCCTCCTATGGAAGAGCTGTGAATGTATGGGCATGTTATTTAGAACTGCAATGGGGTGGGGGGGGAGCAGCAGAGAAAAGAGAATCAGGGAAAAAGAGAATTTTCTGAGGGATTGTGTGGGATCTTATCTTGCCCCTAGGGTATTTCTGGTAGGAGAGAGGGAATAAACTAAGCACAAAAGCAGGTAAAATATTTTAAAATCGTTAACATACATGGAGATAGGAAAAGCTTTTCATTCCATCTGATTCTGGCCATCAGTTTGTCTTGGAATTCAATAGAAGTGAGCTTTGCAACAGTCTTTTCTGGTCCTCTACATTCCTGTGTTCTCATTGTCAACTTTCTTCCCACAAAGTATTTCTTCTCTCTGGGTGGGGTGTCTGTTTTTACAGACTGCAATGTTTGTTCGTTTTCCTCTATGTTAGCACTTTTGCAACTTACATCTTCAATCACACATGGAGCTGATTATAATTAATAAGAATGCTTTAATTTGATACTGCGCCTTTTCATGTCATCGAGACTTCTCAAACTGCTTTACAGGATATGCCGTAAAGTGGTGTGACTGCATATTTTGTGGGCAAAGGTGGCAGCCTATTTGTGGTCCATTACTGCACACAGTCATAAAGTGAATGAGCAATTTTGTTTGAAGAATTGTTGGCCAGAGAGCCGGGAGAAACTCTTTTGAACCGTGACATGGGATCTTTAAGATGTTTAGGTAAGTCCGTGTTCGATCGGTAGTGTCTTTTAAACTTTTTCTTGATTCAATCAATAGCATGTATTTTGTTGGCTGACCATAAGGGTTGGCCATCACCGGTCTGGATGAACACATTGTTGGTGAGGCACTGTATTGTCGAAGGTGCCTTCCCTCGAATGAGTCCTATCTGCTGGTTCGGGTGGAGGTTAAAGATCCAATGTCACAATTCAAAATGAGTTTCTCTTGGTGGCCAACAATCCTCCAAATAAATAGGTCATTCACTTCATAGCTGCTTCTGCCACGTTGCTCTGTGAAAATTGGCTGATGTGTTCACCTACAATACACAGTCACTACACTTTACAGAAAAACTCGGTGATGCACTTTGAAATGTTTCGATGTGATAAGGCTGTATTATCAAATGGAAGTATTTTTACTAAGTATTTTAAATGCTTTTGTTGAGTTTCCAAAAATCCGAGGGATCAATGCAATTTGTAGGCTTCTCTTTCCTGCCACTGTAAACAGCGCTGGTGCCAAGAGCAAAGATACCGGTGGCCAAATAACATGGTCCCCACTGCCTGGATTGGATCAAGCGAACCCCCTCCCCTGGACTCCGAGTGCAGTCATTTCCCTTCCATTTACAGTGTTTCTCTTACGATCTGAGAACTTCGAAAACATTTTTATTTCTTTGAAAAAAAATACATTCAACTATGAGGACCGCACCCATCCATCCACCCAGGGCTTTCATCCATCCAGGGCTGAGTACACGTCTACATTTCCATATTTATGTTGGATTACCGCAGACCTTCCTTGCTTTGCCATGTCTTTCTCTTCCTCTGAACTAGTTCACCCCAGAGATATTCACTTGCCACCGCAATGGCCAACCCCCTCCCGCCATATGCACACATGCACACACCCACCCCATTCTCAAGGAGGGTATTTTTAGAAATGCTACTATTTGTTTAATCAAACTTAAAAGGTTTGAATGGACCCATTGGGAGTTCAAACCCAGAACACTTTCACGTTCATTAATTAAGTGAATAAGGTACTTGGAGGGTAAATGTAAATGTGCAGCACAGTACAGCAGTACATGTATTAAAACATCTTTGTATCACTGGAGACAGGCGCTGCTTATCCAGTACAGATCAAGTGGCTTCATTCCTGGTATTTGGGGGGGGAAGCGGGAAGGAAAGAGATTTTAATCGAGTCAAGATGACAGGATCCATTATTGCCCACTCCACCCACCGTGCTCGGTTACTGATCAAACTCAACGTGCCACAAACAGGTGGTTCAATCAGCGGGAATCCAGAATCCCCGAAAAATAGACTCCTGAAAGAGACTCTGTGGTGGAACTGAGGTTATTAAGAGATCAGCTCATTCTCAGCTCTGAGCTACTGGCACCCAGAACAAGGGGGAAATTGTAAGCCCACAGTCAGTGTTTTGTTTAAACAGCCACCAGATACAAATTATCACAGCCAGTCTGAAAAGCACACTTTTATATCCAAACATCCAGCTTCCAAATCATATTAAGCTCATTCAGGAAATGATAGAAATAGCTTATTTCAGTGCCTTATGGTTGTGTGCTAATTCCTGCAGTTAAATTGGAAAAACAACTGAAAACCTTTGTACATAGTCTTTAGTGTTAAATGTAGGGTTGAGGACTGCAGTGGCAGCCATAGCTATATCACTCAATCCATGACTGTTTGTGGGACACTGCTGTACTCAATTGCCTGCCGTGTTTGGTCCTAAAAATATACAGTCAATTCACTTTACAGTATATTCTGTGAAGTGCTTTGAGACTTCTCAACAACATGATAAGGCGCTATATCAAATGCAAGGATTATTATATTGCTCTTCGTTTACAAACTTTCTTAAGAAAAAGCACAGTACCATTAACGGGAAGCTGAGAGGGGGAAATACGATCCAGTGAAGATGCTTTGAAATATCTACATCTCTGCTCTAACAGAAAGAACACTTTTATAGGTCCTATCACATCAAATTGCTTCACAGATTATTACTATCAAGTCCAGTGACTGGTTCTGCGGTTAATAAGTAAGCATTTGCATTAGCAAAGTTCTACAAACAGCCACAGTGAATGGAATTGATTCAACCAATTGATATGGATGACTGTTGGCCATGACACTGGGAGAAACTCTCGTCTCTTTCTGAATAATTTCATGGGACCTTTAAAGTCCATTTGAACAAGTAGATGGGATCTCAGTTTAACACTTCCTTAACACAGTGCAGCACTCTCCCAATGATCCCTGGAGGTTCGTCCACAACCAACTGAGCTCGTCTCGATGGAGATAATCGCGAACCTGCCAATAATGTTTCTTACCGTCTCTGTGATGGAAGATTGGATTGCTGTTGGCATTGTGCAAGCTGTAAAAGGACATTAATTACCCAATAGGAATAAATGGTGTAATCATACCTTATCAGAAAAGGGTTTGTCTGTGAGGTCGATCCCTTCGGATTCTAACTTCTTTTCTATTAATGTCTCTTGATCTGGCTCTCGTATCCAGGAAGCTTTTCTTGCTGATACAGGGCCCAATTTAACGCCAAGCTGCTGTATGCAGGCAGTCTCTGGCATTGCATGACACCAGGGTGCCTGTGTGGCCAAGGGAGCATTGAGCCCCTCTGCAATGGTAGAAGGAGCACGCACACTAATAACCAGCCCACACTCACTGGTGCTGGAAGCGTTTGAGTTTTTAACTGGTAGAGGAGATCCATCTGAACCAGTCAAGATGTTGTTCAAAATTAAGGGTGGACGATAAACTCCATTTACCATATGCTCTCTACATTTCTTGGCAGGTACTGGAGGCGGCTGCGAAGGCTTTCTGGAATGTGTCCTGCTATCAGTCACAAACTGCTCGCTTCCTTTTAAATCGCACACAGCTGGCCTGGTTTTGAATCCCTCTGTAAAATGACTGCTTTGTTCATTACTTTGAAGTGGAATTACTGTGGCTTCAAGCTGAAAGGCACACTCTTTGTGTGGAGTTTGGCGGCTCTCGTCTTCTGGAGTTTGAAGGGCTATTTTGGACATGCAATCTGATAGTTCACAATTGTTTTCTTCTCCGTGAATTTCTGGAGTCACATGAGGAGTTGCATCGGGTTCACAGGACTTCTTTGTACTCCGAGCGTAAAGGCTGGTGCTAGAGTTTTTCTCGATTTCTGATCCTGTACTGCCTGTAGTTTGGGGAGGCAGAGCAACAGATGTCTCAGTGACTGAAGGAGCCTTTGATTTAGAGCCAGTTTCACTCTGAATCTTATCTAAAGAATGAAACCTTCGCCAAGGCTTCTCAACAGGATGGAGAATCACCAAGTTCTCACAACTCACAGTCGCTCTGATCTGTTGCTTCTCATGACTTGTTGCTTTCGGGGTCATTGCATATATGAAATGACCAAACTTTCCTGTTCTGTGTAAATGCTCAGAGTTTCTGGAGTTGTGTGGAAATGAGGGTTTAACAATCCTTTTCTCTTTACCTCTTCCAAACTGCAGGTTTTCTGCAGATTTAGTTCGCTGGAGTCCTGGAAAGTTTGACGATGAGCGTTTAAATTGCGGTCCGGGATTTGAGGATGACTTAGTTGAGCCTTGGGGCCAGGATTTTCTACCTTTGCCTGAAACCAGAGAAATACGAGTTGAAATCAGTGATAATACCAACATACCATCTTTATATCTCCTCCCTCCGATTTGGAAGCAGCTTTGTCCTGGAAAACCACCTAAAGAATGACAAGGAAACAATGAACTCCAACTTGACCTTTGCCAGAACTGCACTCTAAAGACACTGCAATTGATGATTTCTCATGCTGTACAATATAATTGGGTCTAAATTGGCTTATTTCTCAACAATATTCCTCATTAAGAAATCCAAGTTGTACATATATCATTATATAAATTATTTTTTCCACGGACTGTTCTCAGATTTAGATGCCAGCAATTAAGCAAATCCTGCTCTTAAATTTGCTGCCAGCACTACTCTGGTTTACTTCCCCTCAGTTTTTTCCTCCTCGATCCAGAGAAACGTGTGTTGGTTGCATTCACCAACACCCCACCTGCCCCAACCTGAGATTGTGAACTTACTGCCAACTGTGCCCCCATCTCCCCCCTCTATAAGCCCCTGGAATCAATATATTAATCACTAATATATTGTGCTGTCAGGTCTCCTAAACTAATGACGTATGTTGGCATTATGTCAGTGAAGTCAGATGTAAGATGCAGCATATGATAATGAGAAAGCCTCTTCTCCCATTTTGTAATAAATAAATAGGTTTAAAGGCTGCTCATCATACTTCTGGCCTGGTAATACCAACCTGTCTTAAATCTTAAAAGTGCATAAAATTTTTAAATTGCCTGGTACTGGATTCTAGTTTTCCACAGATCTTGAAAAGAACTGGCTTCTACATTTAGAATTCTATGCAATTCTATGCAATCTTAAATTTTAAGATAAAATTGTACAAGTTAAGACTAGGCTGATTTGGGGTCCATGAAGCACTCACAAGATTGGTTTGGATGAAGAACACCCTTCAGCTATCTAATCTCATTCCTCCAGAATACTCACCCTAATCCTCCCAATCACAGTATCAAGCTGTTTGTTTTACTGAATGCCAACAACAGCAATTCAATGGCTACAGTGCTGAACAAGACACTGGCCTATCTATATACTGTCAGAGTAGCTGGTTCTCCAAGCAGCACAAAAAGGCAAATAAATTAAATAATCAGGATTCCAGAAATAAGACTCTTTGTTATGTTCATATTTAAATGTCATAATTTTAACCTGAGGAAATGCCAAATATCGAAAGGATCCATGCACATGATCTGTGTGAGCCTTGCCATTGGAGGCATTTGTTTATCAGAAAATTACATGGAATCTACAGCACCAGAACATGCCTTTGGCCCACCTAGTTTGTGCCTGTGTTTATACTATACCGGAGTCTCCAACCATCTTAAGCCCCCCCACTCCCTTGCCTCCCCCTATGCTCCTCCATTCCCTTCTCTTTCATGTAGTCATAGCCCAAACTCTCTTTTTATTCAGTAATAAAATATCTAACACCTCGATGAGGACAGTTCAGTAGGTATCTGTAACCTCAAAGCCCTTAATTTCTTATTTCCTTAGTGTGTACCATGTTTGTGTTCTGTATCATTTATGGGAAAAGAATTTCCACCTGGATCTAGATTTACTCTTATTGATGTGGCACTTCAGAGAATCTAGAATTTGGCAAATGGTTAATTTAGGCCTTAACTTTCAAGACAGTTTTCTGTAGTTCTTTGCAGTAAATTAGAAAAAAAGCGGCTGCAAAATTAAGGCTGTGTTTAAAAATTTGTCAAATTCGGGACGTTGTAAAATGTTTAAAAAAGTTAAATCTAGACTCATGTGGAAAATGTCCCTTTGAATTTTCTGTCCAATATCCTTTCTGAAGAAATCCAATATGTAATTTTGGCTGCACTATAGTTTAATGAACCTTGAATATTGTTTATTTGTTTTAAAAATTCACTGTGTGTGTTAAAAAAAATCCCCTTGGTTCTAGAGAAAATCAGAGGCCCAAATTCCACCTAGTCTCAGCCCATCTTAAAATTTAAAACAGTCCTAAAAATCCTTCAATCAATATTGATCTGGAAGCTCATTTTCCACATTTTGTGGAAAGAAATTAAGAAATTAGGATTTCTAAATTTAGACCAAATTTAAGAATTTTCCACAATTTCCGCATGATCTTAAATCTTAAGCCAAAATGATCATATGGTGGAATTTCAGACCACAAAGCCCCAGTCTGCCTGAGCCATAAGTCTCTTTTTGATTGTGCTGCTCTTTGCTCAGGTAGAAGAGGAAGTGCCTGTAGTTGAGGCAAAGCTGGGGTCGGAAGGGGGAGTGGAAGGTATTCAACATAGCCAAACCTGCCACCAGCTGACATTTGTGCAGAAGACAACCCTAATCTAACATGTTAGGAAGGAATAATATTAACAAGATTAAAACCAACTATGCATTTTAAGACAAGGAATATTTATTTGAAGAGGGTTGTTAAAAGTGAGAATGAAGAAAAAGTAGTTAAATTGCTATAGTTGTTTTAACGCGCGAACACACACGCACACATACACACGCACGCCCTTATGGCATGGTACAGACAAAACCTTTCAGCAAGAAAGTGAGAGCACAAAAGTACATGCAAAGAATAAAGAAGCTGCCACGTGCACATCTGGCATCGGTTCAGCAATTTCCTGGTGTACAACGGAGCAGGAAAGAATATAAAATGAAGCAGACTCAGTACCAACACACCAGAAAATAACGGGGAAAATTAAAAAAAACTCAATCATCAGAATTGTCATCATTTTTAAAAATAATTGTTTATAAGCACTGCAATTCCGCTTAATTAAGCTCCAACATCTCTGCAGGAAAACCAGAGGTGCATAGTTTCCACCTAGTTTTAGGCTGCCTTAAAATTTAAAACAGTGCAGAATATGCAAGATTCCTAAAATCAGCCTTAATTTGGAAGCTGGTATTCCCACTTTCCATAATATTTATTATTTGGGTTTCTTAGTGAGGTAATGTCTTCTTGAAATGGGATATTTAGCAACCTCTTTTTTTTAAAAAAAACTTGTTTACCAACACAGAGTGATGATATATGTATGCTGCAAGGAGGTGACATCATGATGACAAAGGAAGCTAATTTGCGGTATTTTGTAAAAGATTTCTTAAGAAGAAATGCATAGCTCAGTGGTTACAGCATTCGCCTCGCAAGCGAGAGATCTGGGTTTAATTCCTGGCAGGGCGAAACCTTGGGCAAGTTTCCTTACTCCACACGCCTAATAATATTCCCTCAAGAAAACACAATAATAATGTGGTCACTTCAATCCACGATAGTTTGTGGGACATTGTTGTGCGCAATTGGCTATTGTGTTTCGCCTACAAATATACAATCAATTCACTTTACAGTATATTCTGTGAAGCGCTTTTGAGATGTCTAGAAGTCGTGAAAAGCACTATATCAAATGCAAGGATTATTTATAGGCCCACTCCCCTGCTCTTACCCCATAGCCCTACAAATTTTTCCTTTTTAAGTATGTATCCAATTCCCTTTTGAAAGTCACTCTAGAATCTGCTTCCACCACCCTTTCAGGTGTGTATTCCAGACCGTAACAACTCTCTGGATAAAACAAATTCTCCTCATCTCCCCTCTGGTTCTTTAGCCAATTAGCTTAAATCTGTGTTCCTCTGGTTACTGATCCACCCACAAGAGGGAATTTAACAATGCAAAAAAAAACTCAAAACAATCTGCGAGCTATCCTAAAATTGTTTTAAAGGATGCTCGCTTTAAAACAAAGATGGAAAACAAAGACAAAGAAGTGACATGATGTAAATGAAAAATGTAAAGATTTAACTAAACAAGCCTTTAGATCCCAAAATATACAAAGCAGTGTCATGGTGAATTCTGGTCAATCAATGACCCAGTTGCATATTCCCCACCCGAGCTGATTTAATATTTTGTGAATGCGAACATTGAATAATAAGAATCCTTACATTCAATATATCACCTTATCACATCATTGAGACATCAAAATGCGCTTCACAGTTTATACTAATATATACTCCCTATACATATAAATATACTATGTGATTATTTATCATGGGCTCATTCAATAGGAGTGGGAGTGGTGGAAGAGGTCTGCATTGATTTGGAATTAAGAGAGAAAATGCAGGAGACAGCACTAGAAGAGGTAAGCTAACTGCCACAGATAAATACACTAAGTCCAGCATGTCTACTTAACTACATCTAGTGCACGATTGCTGCTGATTTGTTCCCTTATGCAGAGAAGGAAATTGGGATTAGACTTAATAGCGCTCGTTGGGAAGCTAGCACAAGCATTAGCTTGATGGGTGAAAAGCCTCCCTTCTGTGTTTTAATTTTTATGATTCAATAATTCTAGTCTGAACGGAATTGTATCTATAGGCCTGACTCGGAATCAATAGTTTTTGAGATTTTTAAAATTGCTCTGAAAAATAAACTACAGCTGATCTTTAAAAAGTAAGTGAAACACACTATAGAATCTGTTCTTAATCGTGAGAGCACGGCTATTGGAAAATACATATATACTTAAGGTGTATATTACACAATATTAGCATTAATATTAATGTTAGCATTACTTTGAAAAGTAGCAAGGTACACACATTTTGAAAAAAGTAGATACATTAACCCTCACTGGAGATATAACCCATTCATATAGATCTCTTGAAACTGTTTTGGTGATAGTGCTGCAGTGGTCTGTACCATCCATCACAATAGCTTTAATAGATATTTACAAAAGCATTTGCTGTGATGATGGACATATGTTATTTTAGTTTCATAAAGCATCCCTTTGATATTTAGGACTCCAACAGACACATGGTATTAGCATTTAAGAGATAGATGGAAAGTATGTGCTGGCTTACACTCTACTTTTAATTTCATCTTTGTTAGTGGAGTATTAGGTATTGAGGTCTGAGTATCAGATTCCAGGGGATATAGATAAATATTTTGGAAAGAACATTTAAGGATTCTGCCAATGACGTAGTGGATGAAGCCACTGAGGGGGTGTAATACTGAACCAACAGCTTGGAAAATCCCCAGATTTCATCTTGTGTGCATTG